CAATTCACTTCAGTCTCGCGACATCGCGACATGATGATTATTAATATCATCACGATTCTGCTATTTGTGAGAGGAGTTTTTTCCTCCTCGTCCGTTCAAGGATCAATATCAATACATAACAATATAATATCAATTAATCTGCATTCGAGCAAATTAAGCGATAATTTTGATGAATTGATTGAAAAATTACGAAGAATAACAAAGCCACAGATTCATTTGATAGTCGAGCTAAGAAGGAAAGTTATCGAAATTAATGGCGAAATTGAACAGGATTATATCAGTGAGTTGATTTATTTTTAATAATATTTTTTTAATGTAACTATCAAATATCTTTCGATAGAAAACTTTTTGATAAATTTGAATAGATTTTTTTTTTTTAGTAAAAATATGTTAATAATTTTTAAATGATAAATGATAAAAGAGAAAAAATTTTTTACGAGTTAAATTTCACAAAATTAAATGAATAATAAAATTATTATTTCAGGTAATTTTTAATATTTTTTGCTTTCAATTTTAAGAGATTTATAATTCAAAACTGATATAAAAATTACGCAATGTAAAAAAAACTTACTCCTAAAAAAATTATAACATGTAAAAAAAGTAAATAATGACTTTGATACTTCTATTAAAAAAAATTTTATTCTTCAATTAACAGTTAAAGATCATTAAAAAGTATAATTAAAAAGATCTTTCTCAATAGTTATCTTAATAGTATCATAATATAAGGGAAGGATTTATTTTTGAAAACACATTTATGTTTAAAAATAAATATTATTAATCTATAATAAAAAAGAAGAAATCTTTATTTTACTTAATAAAATTAATGAAGTTTAATCATCTTTTACAGAGGTAAATTTTGATAATGAAGTTGAAACTAATTTGAATAATCCTACGAATGTCCTTAACGAAGAGAACGTTTTGCATCATCGTATGATGATTTTGCAAAGGAAACAACATCCTGATACATTTAATCATTTATAAATTTGCACAAATTATTTTTTGTAATTACGAAAAATTTTTTTAGAAAACTGACTAATCATTCTTAATAAATGTTCACTTTATAAATAATTAATTATTAAATTTATTGTGTAGATCGATGACATTGGAGATATTTTGCGACGCATGGCATTACTGATGCAAAAACATGGCAACTATAATGAGAGATTAACTCAGAATT